ACAGAGACTTGGTGCACTACGTGCCACATGACCCCAAAAGACCCTTCGCAGGTTTTGAATTCAGAGTTATCCTTCTCCTAGACCAGTTACTATCCAAGGTTATAGAACCCAGTCTGTCCTACTATTTACCCATAGCTGGGGGGAGAAGAGGAAGATTCACACCTTTCCTAAGAGTATTAGCACATAAGTGAATGTAATAGATTTGACTGGAATTCGAACGGCTCTCCCATTCCCCAATCTAAGCCGCTATTCATTACACCCTACCTCCTGATGAAAACATTATATATATATATATATATATATATATATATATATATATATATATATATATATATATATATATATATATATATATAAACCCTAACCCTCCCTGACATATAACTGAGATTGTGTTCACTGATATTTCTGGCTAGTTCCAAAGCTAAAGTCACGGGAATACAGAGAGGTAATGTTGCCTTGCCCTTGTTAGACAATTTTTGAATATATATATATATATATATATATATATATATATATATATATATATATATATATATATATTAAGTTAAGAAGTTTTTATAATCTTATGTTTCAGTGTCATAAAAGCGTAATGAAAAAGGCATTAATTTGTTTTGGTTCTTGAAAATGTCACCACAAACCGAAAATTCTATTTTACCATATACGGAATAAGAGTAAAAATCAAAAGCTTTTAGATGCTTTATTTTCAATTTTTTTAATGATGTAATTGGATAGTACTTATGTAGTTTTAACGCATTTAACAGTTTATAACTATAGCATAACATACAAACTTACAAAAAACGTTCGAGAAGGCTCCAGAAATTCATAGTACTACTATACGATTTTATAAATTTCGTGTTGGGGTGACATTAAAAAAAATTAAACTGAATCAAACCCTTCTTCATTATTTTTTAACTAAATTTCATCGAATTATGATACAGGATCTATCTATCTATCTATCTATCTATATATATATATATATATATATATATATATATATATATATATATATATATATATATATATATATATATGTATATATATATATATATATATATATATATATATATATATATGTGTGTGTGTGTGTGTGTGTTATAAACTGTTACCCTTTTATTACCCCATTGTTAACTACCTGATGAGATGTATTAAACGGCAATTTTATAGTAGTAACTTGCATGTTCTAATGTAACAGTTTATAAGAAATATTTATTGCTCTACTCTTGTATTGAGTCCTTTTTAAATTAATATTATGAACGTTAGAATTTTATTCTTTTCGTTCTTTTTTACATTTTATATATATATATATATATATATATATATATATATATATATATATATATATATATATATATATATAGGAAAAAAGTCTGTACAAAAGATTGGTGTATAGAGAAAATAAGATTTGAAAAACACCTGATATTTATAGATATTTATGTAATATTTATAATATATGCTTTTTTTACCGATAAATATTAAAATTAAAACTGTTTTACTTACATGTCTTTTTTCAAGAGATAAGCGTCAACACGTGGGAATATAAATATTTACAAATTATTTGTAAAGCTAAAAGCGAACCTGGTAAAAGTAAAACAATTTTTTCTCAAAAGCCACTTGTAAGTAAAACAATTTTAATTTTAATATTTCTCTGTAAAAATACATGTATTATAAATATTAAATGTATATATATATATATATATATATATAATAAAAAGGCTTAAACACTAATATTCCATGGTCATAATTTATTCCATTGGAATCGTAAATTTGATCCAAATCATCAGACCTACAAATTCAAAAATTTCAAAAGTAGGTCTGATGAATTGGATCGTATTTACGATTCCGATGGAATAAATTATGACCATGGAATATTAGTGTTTAAGCCTTTTTATTATATCCTTACTCTGTCCTAGACATTGAGCTCTACCTGGATTCTTCCTGTTGGAATTTTTTTTTCTGAAAATATACATGTATGGGTATTTATATATATATTTTGCATATGTATGTATATTTTCCACTAATATTATCTATCTATAAATATATATATATATGCACATTTCATTAAATACGTGCTTGTCTGTCGTATTCAATGAAATGTGCATGAAAGAAGGATTGCTGCCTAAATGCATACATACATACATACATATATATATATATATATATATATATATATATATATATATATATATTACAGCAAAAATGAAGAATTACTTCAACATAGAGGTATTTTTTTGCAGTAAAAATACATATGCTCTGTTAAAATAAAAACATCGAGCTCTCCGTGGATCAGTTTTAATAATTAATATTACCAGGATCCACCTGGTTATATACCGACGGATCGATTACCTGTAATATATATATATATATATATATATATATATATATATATATATATAATCGTGTATTTAGGTAGTAATCATTCTGTTATACATATTACATTGTAGACGACTGACAAGGCACAGCGATTAAGCTTTTGATTATATCTTTCTTTGTTCAAAAAGCAATCATTTTTTTGGAATGCTAGAAAAATATAATATAAAGCTTAATCACGGTGTCTTGCCAATCGTTTTCAATGAAACCTTTATAAATGAGTGATTGCTGCCAAATAAACACACACGTACATATATACATACACACACACACACACACACACACACACACACGAACGCACGCACGCACACACAAACACATATATATATATATATATATATATATATATATATATATATATATATATATATATATAGATAGATAGATATACTGACATATATTTAGTAAGCTTAGCTTATCACAGAGCCAAATAATGAATATTGGAGCAGTGAGTGAGGTTCGAACATTATAATTTATCAATGATTTACTGTACGATATAACCATATTTGGTGCCATGTAAAAATGGCTGTGAAAAGACGGATTCTGTCTTACATACGAAGTTGGGACCACTAGTTGGATAATTCTATCCTCAAAGTACACTACCGTAAGCTTAATTTTACTTGATTCGGACGCTTCTAAGAAGCTCAACTTCATATTATTATTGCTAACTCAAACGACATTATTTTTTTTCAGTTTTTCCCGATTTGCTGTTTGATATAATCCTTGATCCAGTCTTTTATCGCAAACCTCAGTCAAACAAAGGCTTTTTTGTATTTTGTATTTCAGATATTGAAATATTCCTGGTAATTTTTTTTTATGTATGTATCCGTAATCATTTTAATCATTCTTAATCTTCCTATTATTAATCGAAAAGTAGTTGTACTTAAATGCCACATCCTGCAATTTGTATTTGCATATATTTTTAAAGTTTGTCTCATACTTTTTCTGAGATTTTTTTATCAGACATTTTGTCTATGTTTATGAGAGACAGCACTTATGTTTTGTCATTATCGATAATATAAAAAGAATTAAAGAAACACAGTGACGTTTATCGGTTCTAGCTGATGTCGATCATACAAGATCTAGTCAAAAAGTATTCGAACTGGTACTATAAAAAAGAAAACTACAACACATAGCAATTCGGCATTTAATCTCCTTTGAAGTACTCTTTCTGAAGACACACACTTTTTCCAGTGTTGTCTTCATTGATGAAAGCATTCATGGAACTCCTTTTTGGGGGATAGTGAGCATCTGCTTCGTCGGATTCTCTTGGATTTCATCAACGTCTTTAAATCTTGTTCCTTTCAAGTCGCACTTGATATTTGAAGAGGAAAAAGTTGAAAGGAGCGATATGGTTAATATCCGATTTGAGGAATGTTGTCTTTGGCCAAAAACTGCTGCACAAGCCATAGTCACTGATGGAAATTCTGTGGTGTGGTGAGACGACCACATGCTACACACTTTCCTTCCAAGCACTACTATAAACAATGTAAGTGAGCGAGAACATTATAACTTAGTGTGCATGCGCGACAGAGTTCAAGGACAATCAGTGCTAAGCGGCTACAGTCTGCCTACTTTATTTTCGTTACCATAGCAACATTTCCGGTACTTTTCGATCAGATCTCGTATGCCTCAGCAGACTCGTATCAGTAACTAGCTGCAAAATACAGAAGAAAGAGACATAACTGAAAGCAAGTACCGACAACGGTAAAATTTGAATATGTGTATCATCTGACTGCTCCTCCCCAACATTGTCACAACGTTATGGTGAGGTTGCATTAAACCCCAACGGTGTCACAACGTTATGGTGAGGTTATGTTCATCCTCAACGGTGTCACAACATTATGGTAAGTTTACGTTCATTCCCAACGGTGCCACAACATTATATGAGATTGCGTTAATCCCCAACGGTGTCACAACTTTATATGAGGTTGCGTTAATCCCCAACGGTGTCACAACATTATGTGAGGTTGCGTTAATCCCCAACGGCATCACAACAATATGGGGCAGATTGTTGGTGCTGAAAAATTACGTACTGGTCAAAGAACATCAGAATACTTTTTCTTCACTTCATTTCACTTCACTTCACAATACGTATAAATTATATAAAATTTATTTTCGTATTTTTAAAAAATTAAAATGATGAATGCACGGTCTAATAACTTTCTGAAAGTTATTACCCATTTTCTGTTAATATAACGCTACAAGGCAATGCATTTGCAACGTTGCAGGTTCGTTGATTGATTTTATTGTCTCATTTTTTACGGCTTATCAACCTTTTGTAGGTCATTTAAAGCCGAAGCATATTTTCAGATTGTAAGAATAATTCTTTTGTCTTAGCGAGTGAATATTATATCAGCCATTTTTCAGTGATAATAGCAATTTTAATCTTCAACTTTTATTATTTAACCCATAGACATGGGAAAGAGAAGAGGCGGATTCATACCTTTACCAAAGATATTTGCGTCAAATTTTAAGAAGGGTCTGTAATGTCCAGGCATTCCAACTTCAGTCATTTTCTCACTGGCGTGATGTGGCTTCCCTCTGTCTTTTCTACATAATGAACTCGACTAGAATTCAAACTCGGCTCTCTTTCCGACAACGTTATCCATTGCAATAGACGCACGTCCAAGCTTACAGCACCTGGTATTCCCAAGTGGTCACCCATCTAGGCATTGACCAGGCTCAACGTTGTTTAACGTCGGGGATCGCACGAGAACCGGTTTTTCAATGTGATATCGTCAGACGCCATAGCACACGAATGTACAGCACCTGGTATTCCAAAGTGGTCACCCATCTAGGTACTGGCCAGTCTCGACGTTGCTTAACTTCAGTGATCGTACGAGAACCGGTATTTAAACGGGATGTGACCATCACAGGCACGTTGTCGGGGAGTCTACCAAAAAGAGAAACTTTTTTGCAACCTCTAACGTTGCAGAAACGTTGTGGTAACATCATATTGTTAGCTGGGTAGGTATAGAAAAAAACTTGGTAGATTTTGACATTTCAAATTCGTAGGTCTCGCTTGGGATTTCTCGCAGATTGGTTCCCCAAGATCAAATTGATATCTGATCTAAAAAATGTCATAAAATCTGTTGTAAAATGGAACAAGGAATGGCTTGTTAACTTTAACGCTTCTAAAACGAAACTGCTTTCTATTAATCACTTGAGAGGTCCATTTCTGCCTTCCGTCAGTATGGTGAACGCTAGCCTAAAGGAGAATCACTTTTTACGTCTTCTCGAGTAGGCTGCTATTCTGATGTGGGATGATTATATTGAATCAATTGCTAGGTCTGCTGATAGGAAAGTTGCTTCACTGTGTTGTGCTAAACAATTTTTCTCTCCAGAATCTATCCTACAAATTTATAAATCTATCATCCATTCATACTTGGTATTTTGCTGCTACATATGGTCTGGGCTTCCTGCTATGTACTCAGAGGATCTGCTATGTTATTAGTTCTGAACTGATATTCCGGCTTCAATCATTTTCCCACCACCGTAATCTATGTTTCATTTTCCTTTTCTTGAAATCATTTCAACGTAATTGTTCAGATGATCTATGTTACCTAGACTTTATTAATTCAAGCGTAGTACTAGATTGGCAACAAGGTCCCATCGTTTTACAGTTGAATTGGAGAGATGAAATAGAAAGCTGAAAAGATGTAATAGAAAAACTGAAAAGATGTAATACAAAAGCTCGGATATATAGAACATTGGGGCAGTTTTTACACACTTTATGTCCAGAAAAGAAAACACCTACACGAACACATGAAAAATTGAATAAAAACCTTAATCAGATTACCTTGTCTGTCGTCTTTAATGAAACTTTCACACACACACACATAGACACACACACACACACACACACACACACACACACACACACACACACACACACACACACACACACACACACATGTACATATATATATATATATATATTTATAAATAATACACACACACACACACACACACACACATATATATATATATATATATATATAATACAGTCTTAAGGTGTGCTATATTTATGGGATAAAGTGCTCAATATTAGAGATAGAGCGTGTGTAAATATCAAAGTGAACATTGAAGTCAACACTTAGAGGCGACAGACTGTTTCATGCTAGACGCAATCGTCTCTAAGTGTTGACTTCAATGTTCACTTTGATATATATATATATATATATATATATATATATATATATATATATATATATAAAGAGCATATACGGAGTGTTGAGGGTAAATCTACAAGTAAAACAAACCTAGGTGGAAGGTCTCCCTAAGATTAATTATATTGGTTCTACGGAGGCCACATTTAGCAGGAGGTACCGCAACCATGCAGTATCGTTCAGGTTGAGTAGGGATCATAAAACACTGCTCTGTCCAGGTATATCTATGAAATAAACGATGAGCAGGACAACCAACCGAAGATAAAATAGAGCGTCGTCAGGAAGTGCGTGTGTGTGTGTGTGTGGGGGTAGAAACTTTTTAAATTGTGACAGGAACAAAGAAATTGGTGATTTTGGTGTTTTCAAAACCGGGCTCACTATTGAATAAGATAGCGGAAATAATAACGGTATGTTTGCATGCAAAAAAAAAAAATGTCTAAAAAATTAGTATGGAACCCGGATGAAACTCAAATCCGGGCACCACCACTCCACAAAACTACATATTTTCCATATTTAAGGCGTAAACTACGAGCAACACAGGATAAAGATATTTTTAGGGTGAAGCTTGAATTGCCTCGTCTTGATTTTTATTCTTCATTTATCTTACGTTTTACAAGGTCTAAGCTCTATTGAGCCCTTTTAATTGCCAACTTTATCATAGTCGGGGTTGACTATATATATATATATATATATATATATATATATATATATATATATATATATATATATATTCTTGTAATTAGAGTGTTCAATATTAAAAGATAGGCCATTAATAGCCTCAAATAAGTAAGCCTCAAATAAGTGCCTCACCAAATCTTTCCATACTCGGAATTTCGTGAAGATAGTGTCCACTCGTCAGGAGTTTGGCAATAAAATTGTATTTTATAAATTGAAAATTCTGTTTTTCTATCAAGTTCACTGCCAAATTCAAACTGTTCACACACACACACACACACACACACACACACACACATATATATATATATATATATATATATATATATATATATATATATATATATATATATATATACAGGGTGTCTCCCCAAAATGACATAATTTTGTAGTCTAATAACATAACCAATTCTCTCACAAATTTTAACATAATTTCTAAAAACTAATTTCGGACTTTTCTCAATGAGAATCAACTAAGAAAATGAATCGTGCCAGTGATAATGACAATTTTATTATTGAAATGACCACCACGTTCACCTGACTTGACACCTTGTGATATTTTTTCTCTGGGGCTAAGTGAAAGGACATGTCTATATCCCCGCCTTTACCTACAACCTTAGAGTAACTTAAGCAGAGAATCACTGAGGCGCTGTAATATGTTACGCAAGACATGCTACAACGTGTTTGGCAGGAGCTGGACTACCGAGTTAACGTGTCACAGGTGGTGCGCATATTGAACATTTGTGAAGCTTTGTGAAATCGATTATAAAATCGACATCCCTTTGAATATCTTATTCGAATTTTGATAAATCATTTATTGTTCAAATTTAATTTCGTTTGCCTGGAACATGTACTTACTCAGATATTCACATTTTAAATGATGTCCATTTTTGGCGACACTCTCTCTCTCTCTCTCTCTCTCTCTGTGTGTGTGTGTGTGTGTGTGTGTGCGCGTGCGATTTCATCACAAGCCATCCTCCAAAACTAACGAAGAATCCTTTTTATGATCGAACTCTTAATATAATATAGCGAAAATTACGTCTGAATTTTTTAGATGAGGAATTATTATATGTGCTTATTCACTGGAACTGGTGTTCTCAGTTTTACATATAGAAAAGAAAAAAATCAAATAAAAACCAGAGATGTATGGGGTGTATCGTCAGCGGTAGTACTTTTGCAGTGAAGTAGTCAACCCTGCTTTACACGGGTGAACTGGGATGTGGAAGCCTACAGGTCTATGGCTTACATCCATCTCTCACACAAGGCTCGAAGAAGTAGCATGGTAAACTGCGACGGCTACACCTCGGTCAACGGCGTCGAACTGTCGGGTAAATTGTGTGCGTCTAGTCGGAAGTGTTTCCCGATCCAACCGGTGACGAGGAACGCCTCTCCCCATCTCACATGTGCTAAGCGGCCGTCAGCTTGGGCGTAGGAGCGGCGACACAGGGGACAACAGTTTTAGCAGTGGGCGGAGGAATTTCTGAGAGCAGGGACTGGGTAAGTTCGATATGCAAAACAAACCGGCAAGCCATTGCTCTATTTTGTCTTGAATGTCACCATGAATCAAAATTACAACAAAAATAATGGCGGAGTGGTGATCACATCAACGCAAAATGTGCTCAATAAAATGAATGAAAATAACCAGACAAAATGAGGGCAACAGTTCAAATGATTTACTTGTCTTGGAGGTGGGGTAATGGTTGAAGAGTATGGTTTGGCTGATTATTACTACTGGGTAATGAGTTCAATCCTCACTGAGTGCTCCATAATGTGTGGCCTTGTGGCAAACTAAGTTAAGCAGAATAAATAACAATAATATTCGTAATATAAATTAAGAATTAAACAATTATGAAGTAAAATGGAAATCAATGTTCAAAAGAAGAAAAGGTTAAATTGGGCGTAAGATTAACATATATATATATATATATATATATATATATATATATATTGTCTATTCATATCTATCTATCTATCTATCTATCTATCTATCTATCTATCTATCTAAGTCTGTTCATTTCACTATCTATCTATCTATCTATCTATCTATCTATCTATCTATCTATCTATCTATCTCAGTTTGTTCAATATCTATCTATCTATCTATCTATCTATATAAGTGTGAGAGAAAGGTAGTTCACGTATGCTTCTTACAGAATGTAGGTTTTGTCGGCCAATGAAAAAATTCGAAAAACAAAAACAGCAACAACACTACTACTACTACTACTACTACTAATAATAATAATATGTTTATTGTAGGCTATTAGAGGAAATAGAAGCAAGATGTTAAAAATCAGAATTTCCGGGAAAGCATGTGTCGTTTCTTCATGAAAACTAAATGGAAGTTGGACGCTTTTTTAAAGGTAAGTTTAAGCGAAAGATTCAAGCTTTATTTAATCTTATCTTGAAAAAGGACACAGGCGTGTCCGAAAATTCCGATTTCTAAAATCTTTTCTGATCATGCTTCTATTTTGTCTAAAGGCTTAATAACACGATAAACATTACTAGTATTACTCTTGTTTTTTTCCAATTACTTTCATTGGCTAGCTATATCTAAATACCTATATATATATATATATATATATATATATATATATATATATATATATATATATATATAATAGAGAAAAGTTAGTTCACGTGTGTTTCTTAGAATATAGCTAGAGTCGGCACATGAAAGAAATTCATAAAAGACAACAATATTAATAATAATATTATTATACCTACTATACACTATCCGCTTTCTCTACCTTTCTACCTATATATATATATATATATATATATATATATATATATATATAATTTAAAGTTTATTTGTGGGTAAACGTGATCAGGAACAGAGCGTATCTAAATATAAAATGGACACTGAGGTCAAATGCTGAACGTCGACAATTTGTTTCATGTTTGAACGCAATCTTCAGGCCACTGAAATTGTGTTCAAGCATGAAACAGACTATCACCGCTAGTGCCAGTTAAAAAAAACTCAATGATTTCTCTATGTTGCTCTCGTTTCTAGTATTTTATTTGAAACTATTTCTTTGTATCTGAATCGTGTTAAACGGAAAACAATAATGAACAACTCAAGCAATAAAAGCTGGGCTAAAAGAAAATCTTTGAAAATAATCTATTATATTCATATTAACACATTTGCTATTTTTTCAGGTTATTTATTTTTAAAATTTAAATTTTAAACGCGTTTTCCCTTTCTATTTCTCCCCTATCTTTCTTTGTTTTAATATTGGAAACATAAGCGACAAATAGAAATCTTCAATGAAAGAAGATGGCGTTTCTTTATTCGATTGGGTGAAGTGGATCTACTATTGTAAGTTGAGAGAATTTATTTTTCAAACAGTTTGGGAACCATTGTTTAATCTATTTTTTTCATTCAATATGTAATATACACTCAGTATTTTTCTTCCATTGCTCTCTCACTCATACACACATTTCAGAGACCAAATATTTGGTTGATCAGACGATCTATAAAACAATCATTCATTTTTGTAACCAACGATGTTTTTTTGTTTGGCAAATGAACACACCGTAAACAGACGTTAATTCACTGCTTTTTTCGCAAGTTTTTCAACGAAATTAATTTTTTTCTTGAATGACAGATTTTTTGTATTTTGAATTCTTTCTCTTTGTTCTTTAATGCAACTGATAGCCATTCTACTTCTAACACCGACATTTAATTCTTGCAATTTTTCGTTTGCTTTCTTCACAGACATATTTTTCTTCTTACGTTAGTTCTTTCTATTTTTTCATTTTTTTGTTAATGTCATATATAGGACCAATTAATTCTTTTCTAAATTTTTCTTTTTTTAAATTTGAATTCTCGTGGAAACACGGCGATGTAGCCGTTTTTAGACTTTGGCAACCGACTGTTCCGCCATTGGATAATAATTGTCTTTCACCTCCATTTTCTCTTCCTTTTGGGACAATCTTTTGTTCAGTTGATACTGACGTCGGATGCGAGAGATCTCCTCAAACGGAGGTAAGAAAATGACTACAAACGCCATGACGATAGCCCACAATTGGGTGAAACCCACCCATACTTTGAATTGAGTTTTATTCATCACTGAAAAGCTGGCCATAATTCCTGGGATTACAAAAGCAAAAATCGTTATGCAGATTCCTCCACCTATGAAAGCGGTTAGCTTGGCCGACCTGAACGCTGCATCCATTTGGCTTGACGATGGACGCTGGTCATAGTCCATGCCGGCAAGGTCCTCACGGAAGTTTTCCTCCCATGGTTTTAGCGGGTTATCAATGTCGAACATCTTCTGCCACTCTTGTTCGGCTTTATCAGGGGAACAGATGTCGTGAGTTAAAAGAGAAGCCACAATACAAACGATCAGACTGACCGCGAAGCTTGTGGTCGTTCCGGCTAGTAAGACATTGTCCTGCACGGTGTTGAGCAAGAAATTGTTTAGACCTCCTGGGTAAGTAGATGCCACACCCAAGGTAACGATGATGCCACTTAAAAGACCAAGGATGCTTCCTGGAAAATAAAGATGAAAAACAATAAAAAAAGGAAATAAAAGCATATTAAAACCAATCTTAGAAGAATTTATATATATATATATATACTACAAAAGAAAATGGTTGAATCCATCAACACAGCAATAATAACAATATCTCCATACGTGACAGCAAATGACGTAATTTTCAGTTAACAGTATGAAAATAGCGTTCTCTAAATTCTTCCAGTTGCTAAGGACATTTTGTTTTTGTTATTATTAGTCACTTTGTTTAAATAAATTCATTTCGTTTTTTGCCTTGAGAAAGTCCACATTGGACGAAACGCGTCGGCAACTACTACAGTTTTCCTATTGTCATATATATATATATATATATATATATATATATATATATATATATATATATATATATATATATTTGAAAGTAGTCATTTAAAGAATAAATCAATAAAGTTAATGTAATTAAATTTTCCCTAATTTCAGGTAAAATTTTTACTCGAAATTACCTAAAATTGCGAAACGTCTATGCCCGAGGATGGTAAATGTTTACCGAAAGTACTTGCAATATGGACCGAACATCTATTCCATTTTTACAATTAATAAAAATAAGGATCGCCTCGTTCAGCCAGTGGTCAGTGAGTTAATGCCTTATTTAATCTGTTAGCGAAATGAATTCGCCATTTATTACCTTAACTTTATTGACTTATTCTTTGAATGACTACTTTACAATATTAAATTAGCTGCACTATTTATTATATATATATATATATATATATATATATATATATATATATATGAATAAAGACAAAAGGAAAACTTACTTAAGCCGAGGTGTTTCGTGGGATATTACCAAGGCGAAACGCGTCGAACAAAATAATTTTTCCTTTTGTCATATTGTTCTTTTACAGATACATTCTATGTAATATTTGACATATAACGGCCGAAATGTTGTGATAAATATGGCGACACAGATGAGGACAATAGTCCGAATAATGTAAATAGTTTATTGAAACCGTTTTTTAAAAAAAAGAAGTAAGAGGTTCAATTAGAAAAAAAAAATTGCTCGGCCACAGAGGATGTCGCAGTTTATCTAGGTTCTATTTCTCTTATAATGCAATAGAAGTAGATAAATTCGTCTATCGTCCGGTTCACACTCCTTCGCGATCTTTTGAACAGGAGTCGAGGTTTATCCCTTGCTTACTGTTTATGATTGGATTTCCGGTTTTTTCTCCTAAAGACTACTTCAACGTTATACACCTGACGTGTCCGCCTGAACTGTGAAGTTTTATTCACTAATCAAATCTTGACCTCTTCAAGTCTAAAGTTAGCCGTTATCTTTCCTGAATAGGCCAAAGAACTTCACTTCTTGCCCTTTCTTACGCTAATAGAACACTACACAGTAAACCTCTATCTTGAGTGGCTTTCGGGCCTTGTATTGGGTGAACATTTATAAGAAAATATTTCTTATCACTGGCTAAGGAAGAATAACGTAAATGTTTAAGCCATTAGTCATCTGAAGATATCATTCTAATAGTATCACTTACAAAAGAAAGCAAATCAAATCTAAATTTATATTACTTTCGACAGAGGAGGAGAAATCTATTTTGTAATTACTTAATACTTATTTATGCATTAGATTTCGCATACTTTATTCTCTAATTTCTTGTTCCAGTGCAGTTGGATCCTGTGGAAGAGTTTAATGGTGTGTTTTACGTTATTTTTATCTTAACTATTGATTGTTTTTGTTTTTTCCAATGTTAACTTAATTTGTTTATCGACGATATGGTCATAGAAATTGTTCTTTATTACTGTTTATGCTTTTGAGTTCGTTAGGAAATATTGTGTGTACAGAGGATATTAAACGTGTTCCACTTATTAAATTATTTATGAAAGTTATTTTGTAAATTTTAAATATGAATTAAGTTTAAAGCGTCTAATGATGTTTTTTCTTTTTCTTTCAGATTTAGTGAATATTTGGATATACTTTTTCGCACATAACTGGCCTGACATGAATAACATGATCCAATAGAGAAATAAATAAATTTTCGCCAATAAAACTGATTTATTTACTGCTGACTTTGATCTGTCTTAATCAAACACCCTTATATATAATCCGCCTTAATGAAACACCCTTATTTTGAATCCTTTGCGAAGTCTGCTGCTAGGAAAGTTGATTCACTGTGAATTGATGAGACCTTGCCGCCAATCTAATACTGCGTTTAAATTCATACAGTCTAGGCACCATAGTAGAAAGTAATATTTATTTTAAAAATACAAAAAATGTGGGACAAGGCCAAAAAAGGTGGATAGGAGGAGGCTGGTCGTCAATCTGTCTTATCTTAAACTTAGCGAGCCACAATTACTGACCCAAAAATACCACAGTATTCCTTACAACAAAACAACACATTCTTACTTACCATTCTTACTACAGCCACCATAATACCTCGGAGTCTCTAAGAACTCGTAACTAGTTCTCAAATGTACAATTTGTCGGGGGAGGGGGGGGGTGCATAAAATTAACAACATTTAAAAATGAAACCCCAAGGAATATTTACATTGATTCCAATTTTATCTAGGTATCATTGAGAAAAGTTCATCAGAATTTACCATGAAAGTATTTATAGAAAAAGAACAGGAAGACTACATTGCCGCAGTTGGAAAGTGACTGAAGATGAGAAGTCAAGTCAGGACCAGTAAGATCGCAGATTTTTATCAAGGATCTCTAAATATATAGCAGGAGCCCCGTACTATATGTGGCAGCAATATTCAAAGCATGGACGAATGTTAGACTTGTAAATTTTTAAGATAGATTCTAAAGAGAAAAATTCTCTAGCACGAGAGAGTGAACCAACTTTCTTAGCAGCTAACCTAACAACTATTTCAATATAATCTTTTTGCTTCATGTCAGGCGAGAATGCTAGCCCGAGAAAGCACAACGAATTGCTTTCCCGGAGGGTAGCATTAGCCATAGTGATGGGAAGAAGAAAAAGGTCTCTAAGATGATTAATAGAGTGATGTTTCGGTGCTACTATAATATGATATCTACTATTTATTTTCTACTATGGTATGATTTACTAACTGATGGAAATATGAAATATGTTAAAACCATTAAAGGAGCATAATAAACAGTCTGTAGTGCAAAATTTATTAAAAACCATTAACATCTTATATAAAACGGCAGTGAACAGGGAACTGGTTATGTATTAAAAATCATTAACAATTTTTATATAAAAAATCATCAAATAGTGATTTAAATGTTTGTAAACTGATTTGATGTCATTTAAAAACCATTAAACAGGTCATCGTTTTTCCTGAGCATTTTGCAGCAATAATGATCCAAATGTGATTGAAAATGTCGAGTAAATATTAAACTACAGTAGCACTAAAGTTACGTTTTGGAGGCGTTAAAATTACAAACCATTCCCTGACGCTGTTAAAAGCACATTGTTGGTCATTTTTTAGATCATCTGCCAATTTGAGCATTTCGATTTAAACTCTGTTATGCCTGGGGAGCCGTTGAGGACAAAAGAATACCCACAATACCAAGGAATCAATGAAGGCTGTCGGGATCGTCATGGCTAACATGAATAAAGAACACCTGATTAGCACAGGTAATCAATTTAGAAAACTCATCGAGGCTGTAATCAAAACTAATGGCAATTATGTTGAATATACCGTGCATATAGATAAGAAGATTTGTAGTAAATTCTGTAAAAATATATTGTTATGGTTAATTCTTAAGTCCAGTTTCCTATGTTTGTTTGTTGATTAAAATTCTAAAAATAACTTTTTAAAACAATAAAAGTTGCCGAGAGGATGTCAAGAGAAAAAATTTGTTTTGAAACGCCATTTTTTGCAAACATGTTTGTTAAATTTTTCGAGCAAACTTACCAATAATGAGTCCTTTTCCAGTGGCTTTTACCCAAAGAATAGAAAGTAGAACAGGTGGGAAACAAGGGATAGTGACGATGGAACCAACATAGAATATCCAGTTTAGGTCAATTCCTGATTTAAAAACAGTTAGTCCAAGTGGAATAATGCCGAGGGTCACCAACACTATACACCAATTCTTAAACTCAATCAAGTCGTCCTGATATTCGCGGAATTGGCCGTGAATAGGGCACTTGTAATGGAAGCGCGTCGGAGAGTGTTTATTATGAGTCTGTCGGGCCTCCAAGTCGTCAGTGCAACGGGAACAGTTGCTCACCAATGGACAAGAACAAGTCATGTGATCAACAGGGCCGTTGCTACTTCCGCTGCCGCAACCTGCACTGGTATCGCCACCAACGCCACTTCCGTTTTGTTCAGCGACGTCACCATTTTGATCGGCCAGGTCGCCGTTGGTCCGTATTTTCTTTTTGATCTTTCCACATAACACACACTGGTTCCGCTTAAGATTGCATCTAAAAATAAAAGATGGAAAAGCAAAAATAAATGGAGCTCAATGTGAACGCATTTTAGCTTTGTAAATAAAAGCTTAATTCATTCTCATGAAGCCAATTAAAGAATCTAATATTGTATGCCTTTAATAGGCGCTTGGCCTAGTGGCTAGCGTTCCAACTATGAGACGGGGGTTCGAATTTCTCATTGATTTGTCAAGTAATGATTTAATAATATTGGTACGGAGAGACAAATATACCATATCACTGATTGTAAGGGAATTTTAGTAAACTAAACTATTCAGAAGACGACGATGGTATTAGCAAAAAGGATTTCCTAGGATGCAAATGTTTTCGAAAACAAAAAAACAATAAAGATTTTTCAGGCAGTGTATGTCACCATTGTGTAGCCGAAACTCTTCGGAAAGCGTCCATGATTGTGATAGCACAAAGTTAGAAGTTATTATGACCGAGAGTTTGAATGTCAACTGTTGAACACGCCAGAAACTTAAAAAAAGATACGCTTATAAGCCTGTGTATTGATCCATAGATTAGCTTTGTTGGTTTTTGAAGAAACACAAAATATGACTGAACGGGCGTCTGATTGCATAGACATCTGAGTAGATGAGAACGACTGGCAGATGTTTACTTTTTGTTTAATGTTTATTTGTGATTGAACAGAAGGATGTTTCAGATTGTGGACGAGATTAAAGAGAATATGACAATGCAGTTGATGACAATCTCCAGATAGTACTTTGCAGACTGTTTTAAAATGGAAAGGGCCATCCTAAAGAAATTACTTTGAAAGAGACTAAGTCCTAAGGAGGCTTTTTTTTAATGAATATTAAATGAATGGCGGCTTTCATACATATTTTGGAGGTTAGTATGGATTAGTAATGACCGCGGTCTCTCCTGAACGAGAGGTACTGCTTGGGATTATGACGCCTAGGGCTTAAGCTAATATTAATTTTCAACTTTACCGGCAAAAGCCAGCTAAGTATGGAGTTTAGTATGCGTATTTATCAGTGCACCAATATTACAACCAAATGTGACACAAGGTCACTTTAAAGTGGGTTTACCGGCAATACCGTGGAAAAAACGCTCACGCCCCCTCGGCACACCCCTTTTCGAGACGCCTTGGGCGCTGGGTAATTACTCCAGCAAATTCCATAACGAGGGGTACTACTGCATACAGGGATGATATCCTTGGGTTTGAGCTAATATTAGATCTTCCTGGGCAAAGACAAGTAAATATGAAGGTTAGTATGGCGATGTGCGACATCCCATGGGCATTTCGACACAATAACGAAAGTATGGGGCACCCAGTGAGAATCGAACTCACTATTCACTTGCAATTATTCTGGCGAGACAAGCTTGCTAACCATTACACCACGTCGAGGTACTCATGGGAGGTAAGTATGTGTATATATTTTGGCGATTTCAATACTTGGCTACTGCAGTGGTGAACAGAAACTTGGATATTTGATTTAAAGGGAGATAATTGAGACATCCTGAAGAGGTATGGCTCGTAGAACTAGAGCAATCTACCCCGTGAATATGACAATAACGAGCAGTAGGACAACAGTCCGAACAATGTAAATAATGTAAATAATTACAATACCTCATTTCAAGAATATAGAAATATATTGTTCGTATGGGCATTTACCAGGGTGACCACCTTGCAACCGGATGAGACACGAGGTCGAAGTCTAGGGGACGCCGGGCAATAAACCTAGACAAATTAATCAAATATTCTGGTTGCCAACCAAGGCTATATAGGACCCAGTCCGTTCTGCTCCTCAACCCATAGCTGGGGGATAAGAGATGGATTCCTACATTTTCCTAAGGATATCATTAACTTGTAAAAATTGGTACTTGTTGCCAAGATAGTTTTCGAACTTTTGAAGTACTGTTCTTGTAATTCCATAATTTTTAAGTTTCTTTAGTAGAGTAGTGTAATTAAAAAAAAAGCCGATTTCGAATTCTAGTACATTACATTCACTTATGTGCTATTAATCTTGGGAAAGGCATGAATCCAAGCCTCCCCCCAGCTATGGGTAAATAGTAGGGCAGACTGGATAGTCTTGGGTAGCAACCGGTCAAGGAGAACTCTTAATTCAAAACCGTCTATAGCCTTGGCGAAGTACATACTATACAACTAAGGAAAGGATATTTCGCATTGAGCTCGATGATCCAGACTACGATCGACTCCTTTTTTTCGATCAACCATATCAAATGCTTTATTAAGATCAATAAATACCCTCAATGTTAAATGTTTCGCCGACATAGTCTCAGTGATATCATTAATAAGCGCTATTATTGATTGATTGATTTTTTACTATTTATCAACCTTTTGTAGGTTATTTAAAGCCGAAACATAATTTTAAAGTTTAACATATTGAATATTGTATTAACGATATTTCTAGATACTAATGATTTTCTGTTACACGTAATGTCATTTGATACATAGCTGGGGTGGAGATGGTCTGGATTCATACCTTTTCCCAAGAGTATTTGCGCTTAAGTGAATGTAATGAACCCGACTGGAATTCGAACTAACTCTCCGATTTCTCATTCCCAGCCGAAAGCCATCACACAACAACGAATATTCCGACTAAGAGATAGAAAAGGCGTTATTTATGATCTTTACATGATAAAAAGAATATCACACATTTTAACTTTTTTTCAAAGAAATCCTGTTATTTGCATTTTTTTAGATGCGAAAAGCCACGGGGAAATATCAGAATTCGTTTTCGTGTCTTCTAAAAAGTTTTTATAAATGATGCATATTAAAGTAAATTTGCGCAAATAATCCGTTATTTACCTGAAAGGTTTTACGTATGTCTGGTAGATGTCATAAACTATGATTGATGAGACCGCCATAACTTCTCCAGAACCGGTTGACATTAATGCCATTGCACCCATTGTCAGGATCATGATGCCACCGGTTCCTCCAAGAATTTTTTCTGCTATTAGCGGAGTGACCAAACCTGAAAAGAAAACACGAATAATTTGGTTTCGGTTATTCATCTGACAAGTACCCATAAATGCAATTTAAATTACTATTGTATTGTCTTCTTATAAAATCCAGTCATTGACCTAGAAAATCTTTCTGCAAATCTTGGACGTTTTCTGACATTGTGTATGCAGAATAAGAGAGAATAAATTAAGGATAAGCGAGGGAAAACAAAAGAATCCCCTAACTAAAATAAACAGACAATCAGGTTGTTGGAAATACGCGAAACGGTGGTGGGCTGAAAAGTTCACAGGCTGACTATGAAGGAGTGATATTAAAGCTGTGGAATATTGCATACATTCAATTCAAATCTGCATCGTTTCTTTTCAGATATGAGGGTGGGCTGAAAAGTTTATAGGCTGATTATGAACGAGTGATGTTTGAGCTGTCAAATGTTTCATGCATTAATTTCAACCCTTATTAATAACTGCAAGCAGTAATGAGAGAATAAGGCTATCATATATATATATATATATATATATATATATATATATATATATATATAATTTATTAACAATTGGAAAACATTCATGTAAAAGTATAATGTTTCGAAAACAAATCCAACTCTGCATTTCGTCGTTTAAATTTCATCATCGGTGGCGGAAAAATGAGTTGCGTGTGGATGTATTTGTGTGTGTTTAAAATAATGAAATCTTATCATTTTTTTCCCAAGCTGGCATTACTCGGTGGTAAAAAATTTTTTTCCAAATGTCAATAATTTATAACTTAGTCAGGATCACCCAATTTTATAACATACTGCCGACACAGAGAACGCATGGATAAAAAAGAGAAAGGAAAAAAAAAAACTTTTGTTTATTGTCTACCCATTTTGAAGGATCCAGACAAAATAAATGTTAACGACATTTTTTTTAAAGTCACTCATTTTCTTTCTCTTCTTTGAGTCACGAGCGACGCCAGCTTGGGAAAAAATGATAAGATTTCATTATTTTAAACATAGACACATATATGGAATATTGCTGCCATATATGGTCTGGAGCCCCTTCTGTTTGCCTCGGGGTTCTTGATAGGCTCTAGAGGAGGATATGCAATATAATTGGCCCTGGACTGGCATCTCGTTTACAGTCACTTTCTCACAGACGCGCTGTCGCCTCTCTGAAATACTTTCATAGCAATTGCTCAGAGGAGCTGCATTCGCTGGTTCCCAGACTTCATGAGTTCAAGCGCCCTGCGAGGCTGGCATCCCGCTCTCACCTTTTTCACTGTCGAAACTCCTAAATGTAGCCGTCTCTTCTACTCTAATAGCTTCATGTCTCGCACCTCTTGCCTGTGTGACTCCCTTCCTTATTCCATTTACCCTGAGAGCTATAATCTCCAGCTATTCAAATGTAATGTCAATCGACATCTCCAGTTGCCTTGATCTATCCACTACCCTTCTCCTCATCCTTTCTTCTATCACTCCTATCTGATCTTGCTCCAAATTTTCTCTAACCCCTTGCGTCCTAGTGGCTTCCTGCGTTGCTTGGTGTGAAATGCTTAAAAAAAAAAAAAATACACACGCAACACATTTTTTCGACTTCGATCTGATAAAGCGTAATCTGGGAAAAGCATAGTCAGATGTTTTTTCGAATTATACTTTCATGAACGTTTTTCCAATTATCAATAATTTATAACTCTGTCGGGATCATATACCCAAATTTATAACACACACACACACACACACATATGTGTGTGTGTGTGTGTGTGTGTGTGCATATATAATTCAAATGCATTTCTAATGATTTTACTATCGTAGTGCATTGTAAATTATGAAGAAAAGCATTGACAACGGTCAGGAATTAAGGTAGAGTGTTACTGATAGAACAGGGTTAATATGTATATAATGGAATATAGTTTATCGTCATCCCAGAATTGAGACTGTGTGTTGCTATACTCAAGACTTATTTTATCTGAAATTATTTCTTATTCCATATTCAGTGAATGCAGGAGTTCCAATAATGTTTCTAAGCATGGCCCCATCTTTTCACAAATCTTCCGCATTAGTTAAAATTTTACCTATTATTACTTATACGAAGTGTGACAATTTGATTCTTGTAATGGTCCTGTTAAAGCAAAATTTGCTCAAATGATTTGAATGTGTTGCTGTCATCTTCAAAGTACTCGTGTATGGATACAAAGATAGACGTGACGGTCGGCAAGTAATATCAGAGTGACGAATGCTAGTTGCGATGTATAAGCCTGGGGAAGAAGCACACAGCGGTTGAATCTTACAGAAAAAAAAACACATGCCCCCCCCCCGGAGGTTCATAGAGAAACAGTTGTAAATCCAGTTTTCCCCTCGAGAAATATTTTTACTCACTGTTTGTTGTTGCATATATGTTATAATTTCTCAGCGTAACACACACACAAACACACGCAAACACAAACACACACATACACAAACACACACATATATATATATAATTTTGTGTACGACGTCGTCTTATAAAACTCTCTCTGAGAATAACGCATGTTTGTTTTTCCGTTCCGTCAATGAGGTACAGTGTTTTTATATCAAAGGATACAATAGGGGAAATATAAAGGGGAGAATAAACATTTCTTCCTTAGCTCTCTCTCTCTCTCTCTCTCTCTTTCTCTCTCGCTCTCTCTCTTTTCTCTTTCTTTTTCTCTCTCTCTCTTTCTCTCACTCTCTCTTTTACTCTCTTTCTCTTTCTCTCTCTCTTTCTCTCACTCTCTGTCTGTCTGTCTCTCTCTCTCATTATACTCCCCTTATGAATCTAGACAAGTTGCGAAACGATGTTACCCATGATGGAACTTGCAGCCTTAGAATTCATGTTCTGCTGCTCACCCTGCTGTCGCTCTTGACTGCATTTGCCGCGGTTTCCCCTTTTATCATTAATGCAACGAGAAATCACTCCACTATCTTTACCAAGAATTCATGTCAATTCAAAGATTTGTGGAGTTTCATGATCGCTTAAATTCCAAAAGTATATGACATTTAAAAACATAAAATAAAAAGTAGTATTATCAAAAATATTTTTTCATTTCTTAGATGCTAATTATTGATAATAAAATCCGGCACTAGTTGTGTAAAGTGGTCCGCTTGTAAAAACATAAGGAAACATTTTTAGGAACAATTTTTTAGATTACATTTATTGTCCATGAGATTTGCCAAAATCGAAAAATATTTTTTTTTATCATTTTAGAAGTGGGGTTTTGTTCAAAATATAAATAAAATTTAAAATCGATGTCAAATCGATATTTGACGACTTAAAGGAATATCTCTACTTATATTTTATTTATAAATATCTGCTTGTGTTAATGATTAGTGTTTAATAATAAAATTGGGTATAAGGACAATCTCAATTGTTTGTAAATAAAAACAAAGTACTGATAACTCTTTAAGGAGGTGATTTGACACTTTATTTAGATTATAAATAGGAGCCTTTTCTAAAAATGGTAACGAAACAATTTTTTTGGATTCTGACAGAAATTCTGGGTAAAGAAAGGCCTGCTGAATGTTTATCATAAGTTATTTAGTCAGCACATGTGTTGCACCGCTGTGGTCACCGCTCCCCTACATTTCACACTTGTGGGTAAAGGTGACATTCAAGACAGAATAGTGCAATGGCTTGCCGGTTTCTTTTGCACCAGCGTTGTTGAGATTACCCTGTTCGTCCTCCCAGAAGTTAAAGAGGCAAAACGTCTAAGGCAGCAGGTGTTTTAATTTAAAATTTTCGTTCTCCTAAACTGGTTTCCAACCAAGACTATAAGGACCAGTATGTTCTGCTATTTACCCATAGCTGGGGGGAAAGTAATGCAATGAACTCGACAGGAATTTAAACCCGGCTCTCCGAATCCTCAATCTGAGCTGCTATCCATTTCTCCACTGTGCCTCCATTTGAATTTTAAGCTATAAAAATGGTTTCTATGTTTTTTACAAGCGGACCAGTTAACTTCAGTAGCGCCTAAAATTCAATATATCTAAGCGATTACAATTCTAAACAATTTATATTCACTGAAAACTGATTGGTGTTAATGAATCAAAACCTGTCTCTTACCTTCATCGATTTCTCCCATGTTGAGCATGTGTGTTCCATTTTGGGAGCTGAGGGCTAAATAAGCCATTCCAGTTGTGGTGGCCATGGTCGACGGGATAGCAAACCACATTAGACTAGCCAGGATGAATCCCCAAACACCTTGTGTTGGTTTAGCCGCAATACGACTTTGCCAAGATGCTTGGTCGCAGAAAGTTACGGCCGAAGATACGAATATCTCGATCACTCCATATAAAAGCGCCACAGATGAGCGAAAAGTTAGAAAACTGTTTTGTTCGTTGTCATCTGGACCCTGAAAAAAACCATTAAAATAACAAATGTACTTTCTTTTTAATGTAACCCCCTTTCTGCATATTTGATACTAAGCTCTATCAGAGTGACTTCTCAAACTAACATTTCCGATTGATATGAAGTAGAAAGATTATATTGAATCAATTGCTAGGTCAGCTGCTTGGAAAGTTGGTTCGGACAAGACAATTCTTCTCGCCAGAATCTATCTTGCATATTTATAAGTTTACCATTCGTTCGTGCATTGAATATTGCCGCCACATACCGTCCGGTGTTCCTGCTGTATATTGAGAGATTCTTGATAAAATCCAAAGAAGAATCAGTAATATTATTGGTCCTGACCCGGCGTTCCGGTTTCAGTCACTTTCCTTCCGGTATAATGTAGCTTCCCTGTGCCTTTTCTATAAATACTTCCATGGTAATTGTTAGGATGAACTCTTCGCTACTTTGGTACTTAGATTTTATGCCTTTAAGCGCAATATTAGATTGGCAGCAACGCTTCATCAACTCAAAGTTGAAATGACTAGATGCAACAGGAAGTTCTATGCTAACAGCTTCTTTTCTCGTACTTCTCACATGTGGATGTCTCTTCCGGCTCCATGATTTCAAACAAATTTGATTTTCAAACATTTAAAAGCAATGTCAATCGTTATTACTGTCTTCCAGATTACTCTTCTATTGTTCTTGCTACTTAATAATGATTTTCTTTTTACTTATTTTTCCCAACTCAGTAGCCCCCTTGTATTTTAGTAGCTTTACTGCCTTGCTTGGGATTAAAAAAGGCTTACAATTTTTATATAATGATTACAGGGTACTTTGCTGAAACGTTATGTCTGTAGGGTACGTTAGGTAAATTGTCGCCATTTTATATTTTTAATTTCACGCAAGCGCTTTGTTTTGTTTTGATTTTGTCAACTGCACAGTATAGTAGGGTCAGTTGGGCATCGTCTGTGAGAAAAGGAGCACCATGACGCAATTTTCTCCACCATAAATTTGGAAATGTCATGCTGTACTGCTTGTTATTCGTGCCGGAATTCTAATAAGAACATTTTTGAGCGTTCGGCTGTCAATCTGAGGACAGCACAGAAGATTCGGAAAGAATTGGATGAGTCTAATGGTGATTACGAAGGTATGACAGCTCAGAAATCTCAATTTTATTTGTTCTGAAAAGAAAAGAATTCCCGAATTTGTTGTCAGACAATTTCTGTAATCACATCACCACTTACATCTAGTCACTTAACTCCCCAGACTGCACCCCACCTTGATTATCATGCGTTGGGGCAGTTGAGCGGGAGATAAACAAAACTCCTTGTAAAACCAAATGATGAACTGAAGGGAAAGATTAGGGCAGCATTCGACAACTTATACAAAAACACTATCCAGAAGAGTTGCAGGAGATTCCGAAGTTGTTTGGAGATCGTGGTTGAAGCCAATGGCGTTTTTATTGAATAAATTTAATCTTCAGTATTTCAAGATATTTTTGCGCAATTTGGATAAATATATCTGTTAAAATGAAATGTCAGCGTTATTTTTCCTTTTGCGTCATTTTATCCATCGCACTCTGTATAATAGTGAAACTAATCAAAATGAGTGAAGTTCAAATAAATTGATTGTTTATTATTAGGTTGGACGAAAAATAATATCTGATTTTAGAATCAATTCTTATTTCTGAATGAATGTATTTAAAAAGTGTTTAAATCAATCAAAATAAGAACGCTGATATCTGTACGTACGTTTCTGCCATCGAGTTACAAAGTTATTTATGTCTTTATGATAAAAACTATAAATGTTTGGACGCCAAGAAATCTTTGAATGCAGTTTCTCCATCTTCTTTACAACAAAATGTCTTTTGGCTTAAAAATTATCAATTAGTCAGTGGGCGAGAGATTGGGGGAATATGGGGTGGTGGCGGCAAAGTCTTGTATCCAAAGTCGGTGAACTTCTACAGTGTCATCCCAGCAACCAAGCATGGTCAGCAAGCAGAATTGCACTTCGTGCAGGTGGCATTTTGCCTAAGTAAATATGCATTTCATCCAGTTGCTGGCAGTAAACTTCACGTATTCGCTGGGGTTCTACTAAAAAACACATTATGTCAAAATGTACAAATATATATATATATATATATATATATATATATATATATATATATAGTCATCCACATACAAGACTGTTTTGCTGTATCACAGTTCATCAGTGTGGCTAGACGTCCGGTTGCTTCAAGCCGAGATCGAAACTCGACCGATTTGGCATCAGTCAGAGATTCTACCCCTAAGCTATCGGCGCATGGCACATAATTGGAATTTTTTAACGTATTATATACGAGATGTATACAAACGCCAGTAGCTAAGAGTGTTCAATTCAGACGCGTTAATAGCAAGAGCAGCCACTGAATTTTAAAATTACCCTTTCTCTCTAGTGCTCAATAGGGCAACAAAAGAATAAATAGTCATCCACATACAAGCCTGTTTCGCTGTATCACAGTTCATCAGTGTAGATAGACGTACCAGTACCGGTCGCGTTTTATTGAACTGAATGTGCATTTCACCCAGTTGCTGAAAGTAAAATTCGGCAAGGATTTTCCTGGTTAGATTCTAGAAAGCTCTAATGGATAACGCTAATAACGGACCACAAGAGATTCAACATAATCTTGTGTTGGTGCAATTTTGGTTTTGGAAAGAGTTTGAGTGTTTCATCATCATCAAAGCAATGGGCCGATCGTTTACGGTTGTCATAAAGAATTCATTTAGCATCACAGGTCATTATTCTATCAAGAAATGGATCCCTTGAATTTCGCAGATTCAGCATCGAACACACTTCAAAACATCCAACTTTCATTGGGTCCATGTGGAACTCATTTATCGACTTTCTTGATCACTCCAATTTTCTATTGCTCAAATGCTGATATCCATTATCTGAGACATTTCTCTGACACAAGGATGTTGTCAATTGCAGATGGACGTCCTTGTTCTTCAAGACACGTATCCCCACTGAGGGACTTCAAAAACTAGCGCCATACTGTCCGATCGCAAGTGGTTCCTTCACTCTATGTTTTGTCAATGTTGGAAGCAGTTTGAGAAACATTATGACCAAGTTTCAACTCCTGCATAAAACTAAACGCATCTCTTCTTTGTTTATATTCAAGATTCGGGTTATATAATGTTTTAAGTTAATTCTGAAAGAGATTGATATAAAATTAACAAAAATGATAATTTAATCAGCGTGTTGCAAAAAAAATCTAGCATAACAAAAATTCGACAAAGACAATCTATCACTATCAGAATTTCATGCCCGCAGGTTTAATTCCCCCTCCCCCCGCCAGTCAGTTCGGGTCACCACAGTTCTGATTAATAATTTGCCATTCCTAGCCAGTCTACACATTATGTAATAGCACCAGTACTATTGGAAAGGTATGAATCAAACTCTTCTCCCCACCTATATGGGTTAAATAGCAATACGGACTGGGTTCTGTAGCCTTGAGTGACTGCAAGACTTAGAGACGAAAAAAAAATCAATGACTCAGTAGAGAGCCGTAATCAATTACTGAAGACACATACTATTAAACAGTATTTGATGATGAAAAAGGCATTTTCATTATGGTTAAATGCTTGCAGCAGTCTTAGGTGACACTTAACCTGAGGCATCAATATAATTTACTCCATATCATAGAAATAATTTCTTTATTGTGTCGTCTTAAACATGGTACCCGTTCTTATACGACTGATTTTGATATCAAAACATGGTCTCTGTTTTAATAGTCGAAGTGGACAATTCACTAGATCAGTGTTTCTGGAACAGAAGAGAAATTATTATTTTCAAAGGCGAATTGAGACCCAAACTATGACCACTTGAAGGTATATGGCATTTTAAAAAAGTTCTCTTGCAACAAACCAAAAGCGGCATTGTTTTACATCAGATGATTTAAACATGAAGACAACGTCAAGAAGCGAGAAATGTGGGACTAAGAGGAGGAAGGAAAAGTAGATGATAAAAAGGAGAATAAAGCTGAAGAAGGAAAAAAGAAGTAGAACGAGAGGAGGAAGAAGAAGATAAAAACGAAGATTTCAAGAAAAATCGAAGGAAGGAGGATATTAGGAAGGAAAAATGTAGAAAAAGAAAGTACGAAGAAAAAAAGCGGATGAACGAGAAGAGGATAAGAAAGATTTAAAGAAGGATCGGAGGAAAAAAAAGAATGAAGGAAAAATTGATGGAGTAGCAGAAAGGTAGCAGAAAGAAGATGTAAAAGAAAATATGGAGGGAAAACTGGAGAACAAAAAGTGGAATAATAAAAAATTGAAGAAGGAGGATCGGAGGAAGGGGAAAAGAAAGAAAGAAGAAAGGAAAACTGAATGGAGAAAAAAAGGAGTATAAAGAAGATGTAAAAGAAATTATGAAGACGAAAGGGGGAAGAAAATAAGAAAAAATGAAGAAGAAGAATCCGAGAAAGATGAAAAGTATAGAATGAAGGAAAAATGGATGGAAAAAAAGAGGAGAGAAGATGTAAAAGAAAGTATGATGAAGAAGGCGGGAGGACGAGAAGAGGAATAATGAAAAATTTGAATAAAAAGGATCAAAGGAAGAAGAAAAGAAGAGAGGAAAACTCGATCGGAGAAAAAAGGTAATAGAAAGAAAATGTAAAAGAAATTATTAGTAAGAAAGAAGGAGAACGAGAAGGGGAATAATGAAAAATTGAAGAAAAATGAGAATGAGAAAAAAGGAAAGCAAGAAGGAAAACTGGAGAAAAAGGGAGTAGAAAGATGAAAAAAAATGACGAAGAAAAAATCGTGATAACGAGAAGAGGAATAAGAAAAATTTAAAGAAGGTTCGGAGGAAGAAGAAAATAAGGATGAAATGAAGGAAAAGTGGATGGGGAAAGGGAGGCGTAGAAAGAAGATGAAAATGTTTGAAGAAGAAGAAGAAGAAGAAGAAGAAGAAGAAGAAGAAGAAGAAGAAGAAGAAGAAGAAACTGAAAAGAGAGATCGGAGGAAGAAAAATAGAAGGAAGGAAAAGTGGATGGGGGCGAACAGAGAAAAAAGAGGAAGGAGAAGAGGAGTAGAAAGATGAAAAAGAAAGTATGGAGAAGAAAGCGGGAGAACAAGAAGAAGAATAAGAAAAATTGAAGAAAGCTCGGAGGAAGAAGAAAAGACGGATAGAAGGATGGAAAACTGGTTGAGGGGGTGAAAGAGGGGTAGAAATGATTAAAAAGAAAGCATAAAGAAAAAACGAAAAAAGGAAAAAAAAGTAAAGAATTGGAATCGGAAGACGAAGAAAAGAAGGAAGGAAAACTGGATGTAGGAATAACAGGAATTGAAAGAAAATGAAAAAGAAAGAAGAAGAAAGCGATATCACGTGAGAGGCGGAATTAGAAAAACAGTAAGCTGTAAGCTGTCAGTTGTTTTTGTTTTTTGGCACATCAACAACTTTTTTTTAATGCCGAAATCAAAATATTTTGTAAGCAATTTTATTTATTTTTTAGGAGATAATTCTTTTAGTGATACATGTCTTACTAATTAACCCATTGCTAGTGGAGAAGAGGTGGATTCATGCATCTCCCAAGGGTATTTTTACATAAGTGAATATGAAGAGTCCAACTGGAACTGAAGCTGGAATTTGGCTCTTTGATTAACAATTCCGAGTCATTAACGGTTACTCCACCCGCACATCCAAGCTTACTGCACCTGGTATTCCCAAGCGGTCATCCATCTGCCCAAACTCGACGTTGCTTAACTTAAGCAGTAGAGCGATGTGGCAGTAAGAGTAGAGCGAGAAAAGAAAGAAGAGAAACAGGAAAAAGGAAGAAAAGAAAAAGAAAAAAAAAAGGAAAAAACTGAACGAACCTTAACACACATGATGGCGCTATACATCGTGTCCATATTGCCAATTGTTGAATATCTTTCATCGCCCATATGGAAAATTTTGGCGACAAAGACGATAAGGAGAACGAAAACGAGGCAAGCGTTGAAGTAGGACACGTAGAAGGTCGTCCCGAGTCCCCCGATCAAAGAGTAGGAGCCGAACAGTGTAGCCATAATGATGACGGTAAATTCGTCCGAGGCGTCCTTGGTCAACGATTTAATGGTGGCCTGTCCAGCCATGATGACTCCGATGGTGATAACCAGGTTTGTGAGAAGGGCGAAACAACAAAATACAGCATGAGTGGCACGGCCATAACGGGCGTACATGACCTGCAAGAAAGATTTTGGAAACCCAAGAGAAGAAGTTAAAACAAAAACAAAGTTTATAAAAGCATAAACAGAATATTAATGCTCCCCACCCCCAATAAAACGGTCGTTTTCAAGGCCGCCCAAATTATTTAAATTATTTACTAATCTACTAATACTGGGAGTATTTTGTATTGTTAATAAAGCTTTTGTTGTGGTTATAATAATACCGTAGAACTCCCCAAACCCGAACATTGCATAATCTGGACTTTCTCGAATTCGACTTTCTTGAATTTGGGCTCATCTTCAAATCCGAACTTTTGTATTGAGAAAATTAAATTATCCAGAAGAAATTGCACATTCGTAAAATGAAAGAATGTCGTACTCGCGTCAAAAGCGCCATAGAAACAATTGTCATGAATGAAAATGAAGAACACAGCGAAATTCAGGAAGATCTGACAATAGACGAATGATAAATTTATAATTTTCATCAATTTTCAAACATTTCATAAAGTGTTTTAGTTTTTCACAAATTACAATATTTCTTTAGCACCAATTTTTTTCATTGCTATTGGTTGGCAATTATTTTTTGTACATTTGTATTCAATCTAAACTTTAAATAAAAACGAATCAACGTTACAAACTACCTTTTGTATCCTAAAATCTAAAACTTAATAAAAAAAATGTTAAACTTGCCACAGCAGCCTTTTCTTCCCCGAATCCGAACAGTATCCTCAATACCGAACATTTCGGATGTTCGGTTTAGAAGAGTTGTACTGTATTAGAAATACTCTAATATTCCTCAAATAAATTTTCAGAAAAGTATATTTTATTTTCGGAAGATTTTAAAAATTATTTTTTAATAAAACATTGCGATGAAAGATGACTAAAAAAAGTGCGCGAATTTTTGCTATTTTAGCAAAAAACAAAAATGAAAATCGATTCCAATCAATATAATTTCTTGTTGAAATACACCAAAGTATTTTGATTACTGGAAATAATAAATTTAATCCTTTAGCTTTTAATTAAACCTAAAATAAAAGCTACAAAAAAGGTTTTTCATTTTTTTAAATATTTATTTTAAACTTTATGTATCACGAATTAGTGGAGGTACCTATATTAAAGCAAAGATAAGGGAATCTGTTGGATTCCATGGAATAAGTTAAGGAATTGTAACTTAACTGAAAAATATATCCACATAGTTTTCTAATACGATATAATAAATAAATGCGATAATTTTCATTAAAATCGGATGATTCTCAGATTTTTGGTAATTTCTTACAAAAATCCAAGAGTAGGGGTTTTCATATTAAAGTGTATATGATGCTTGGAGATGTCACAAATATTTTATAATATTTGCAGCGAAAAGGAATAAAAATGACGATAAATTAACAATCAATCAATAACAATCATCAATTGACTGATTCGTTTTTACAGCTTATCAACCTTTTACAGGTTATTTAAAGCCAGAAAGTATTTTTACATTGTAAGACTTTTTGTGATGGCGGGAGACAATAATGTTTTAGTGGAATAAGTGGATTCATACCTTTCTCAATGGTATTTAACGAACCCAACGGGAATTACAACTCGATTCTCCAATTAAAAACGCCGAGCCATTCTCCATTTTACCACCTGCACATATGCATATTTAATAAAACTGTCAAAAAAATATTGAATAAAAATATTGTTTAACTATTTTTTAAAATTCTTTTCTCTTATTTTCTTTCCATATTCCATTTGATAGAAAGTAAAAATTGCTTATTCAAAGTTTCATGAAGTTTAAACAGTCGTAAGCTTTACTTTTCTTCTTCAAAAAAGAAAGATTGTTGTTTGTAATAGCTTTAGTCTTAAGTATTTGATTTGTAGTAGCTTTGGTCTTCCGTATTTGATTTGTAGTAGTTTTGGTCCTCTGAATTTGATTCTTTGCGTAATGTTTTGAAATAGAGGCAGCGGAATTGTAAGAAAAGTATTGTTTGAACTTCGTCTTGAAAATTGTATTTTAATTATATGTTAGCTAAAAGTAACGTTATTACAAATTCTTAATCTTTAAATTTACCTTTATGAAATGTGATTTCTTTTGTATTTTCTCAGTCCAGCAGTAGCCGTTAATCTCGTGCATCGTGTTCGATGTCTACTTGCCGCCCATGCAGGCAGTATACGTCAAAAAATCCGTTTAATGTGGGGAACTCGAAGGCGTGCACCGGGGCCAGTTCCAAAAATAGCACAGTCAGCAGTCTGTTGTTAACTGGGACAAAGAATGGCTTGTTAATTTTAACTCCTCCAAAACAAAGCCGTTCACTATCAATCATCTGAGTGACACTTTCTGCCCTCCATCAGCATGGCTGATGCTATCCTCCAGGAGAGTGATATGTTGCGCTTTCTCTGGCTAATGTTCTCAGGTGACATGAAGTGGAAAGACTATATTGAATTCATTGCTAGGTCAGCTGCCAAGAAAGTTGGTTCACTGTGCCGGGCGAGATATTTTTTCTCTCCAGAATCTAACTCACATATCTATAAGTCTACCATTCATCCATGCTTAGAATATTGCTGTCACATATGGTCCGGTGCTCCTGCTATATCTTTAGAAGATCCTTGATAACATTCAAAAAAGCATCAGTAATATTATTGGTCCTCACTTGACGTCCCTGCTTCAGTCACTTTCCCACCGTGGTAAAGTTGCTTCCCTCTGCTCTTTTCTATTAATATTTTCATAGTAATTGCTCGGAACAGCCCTTTGCTGTAGTACCTAGACTTTATGAATTTAAACGCAGTACTAGATTGGCAACTAGGTCTCATCAATGTAGAGTTGAGTTGGCTAGATGTAACCGTAAGTTCTATGATAATAATTTCTTTTCTCGCACCTCTCACTTGTGGAACTCTTTTTCGGCTCCATGATTTCCGTCAACTTTTCAAAAATTTGAATATAATGTCAGTCGCTATCTGCTGTCTTCTTGATTACTCTTCTATTGTTTTTCGTTAATAGTGTTTGTAATTTTTAATTCTTCCACGCCCAGTAACTCCTTGTATATTAGTTGCGTTACTGCCTTGCTTGGGATGAATTCGATTAAAAAACGACTATAAGTCATAGTATTAATGTTAGTAATGGGTCCCGTCTCTAGTACCAAGAGGCAGATACTACAGATGCTCCCCGGAGATCGAGCGCCTTCCAATTTTCTTTTCGTTGTGCTGTGCCCGAAGACTGAGACATAACTGAGATGATAAAAGAGATACGACACACCGAATGTCGCGAGTCCGACTCGCTAAACTCGCGTATCGTATTCTACATCTCCCCTTACTGTTTGGGCATTTATATAAACTCTATGCCTTAGTTATGCTAATTAAGCCGTCATTTACATATCACTGCAGAAACAAATATCTGGAAAAAATTATTGAAGCTTTAAGAAAATTTGAAATGTGTTTCAGCAAAGACGCCAAGTTGAAAGATGATATCATCAGGAAGGTCATTAATGAAAATTAAAAATAGTGTAGGACCAAGGGACACCTGCTTTAGTACGAAAAGATCTAGACGAGTGGCCATTCAAGATAACTCTCATTTCACGATTTGAGAGGAAAGACTGAATCAGCTCAAAAAGTGTCGGAGACCCGGTAATGTTACATCTTGTACACAAGATCTGAATACCAAACCATGTCAAAGGCTTTCGAGATGTCCAATGCAACAGTCCGGTCTTCACAGTCTTTATCTAGAGCATAAGAGACTCTTTCCGCAATTATCGTCAGTACACCAGCAGTTGAATTGGAGAAACGAAAGCCGTATTGCTTGTCTGATAAAAGGCCTTACAATGAGAGATGAACCAATTCAGCATTAATTAGGGTCTCTAGGAGTTCCCCCAAAAGAGGTAGAAAGCTAAATGGCCAATAGTTGGAAGGGTCGGACAACTCACCAGAGTCCTTAAAAACTGGAACAACAGATAATGAGTTCAAGCAGATAGAAAAGCAGAAGGCAGCCAGGCATCTTACTTATTATAAAACGCAGGTTGTGTGTGTGTGTGTGTGTGTGTGTGTGTGTGTGTGTGTGTGTGTGTCTGTAACGTTTATATGTTGGATCGAATTTCCTACATTTTTTAGCCGATTTCAACAAAACTTCACAGGACTACATAAAATTACCTTGTGGTGGTTCTAATGGGACCGAAAATGGGAAAAATACTGTTGTTTTTTAATAAAATCAATTTGAAAACACGATTAAGACACATCGTGATAATAAAAGGGGGAGAACTCACCCACGAAAATGTAAACAAAAGAGCATAGCATGCTGAAAAAGACGCCGAACTTGTCGAAAACAAAATTTTATCATCTAATGTTCATATTATTATTAAAGAGGAAAGATCAAAGTATTTTGGGGGTATTTTTTTACATTTTTTAATCGTTTCTAGCACGTCTGAAATTTTCGTTAAAAATATTGTTTTTTTTTTGGTCAAAAAAAAGGGCAGATAATCATTTTTAATAATTTTTTTCGATTTGATAAAAAAGATTAAAATCTTACTTTGATATTCTTTTAAAAGTCAATTATCATTTTTTTCAAAACTGATTTTAATAAAAACAGATATTATACTGTTTATTTAAAATATTTTGAACCAAGCTTAACTTAGCTTCTGCGCCGAAAAAATGTAATTTGAAAATAAAACAAAGCAGGTCATAACCTTTCGCGTCGCTTGACGAAAGGCACATTCATGACGTTTAGATAAGTTACGGGAGGAGAATTCTTTCTACGGATGGAAGGAAGTGAAATTATTTAAGTGAACAAATTATTTACCTTGTTACTTTTAAGGAAAACATTCAGCGCTCTAATTTTTTATTTTTTATTTTTTTATTTTTTGTACTTAGCTTTCATTTTTATGTTTACGATGCTTTATGGAAAATATAAAGAAATTAAAAAGTAAGACTGCTAATAGTGAGATATCAGAAGTGTACATAAAATACTATAATTTTATGTACATTTATTACATTTTACTGTGTTATTTGTATTTCCATTCATTTTATTATTAATTTTGATATTTCATTTATGGAAAAATGTCATAACTGAGATTAATATAAAAATAAGATCATATAAATTAAAGTTTAGCAGTAGTTAAATTTCATAAGATGATACTGTTATTTGTAGGTACCCTTCTCAGTTGAAATTGAAAACTCAAATTAACTTCTCCATACGTGTTTCGCAAAAAGTAAAGGGCTTAACAGCGGAGAACAATGCTGAACTCAAATAATGCAACAAAATTGTATTCTGGTTGGTCTTCCGTACTTGATAATTACTGTCCGACTATAAACACAAAAATTACATTTCTTAATTACCATGGCTAATCTGATTGGTCCAAATTATACAATTTTCAAAGCGCTAGACAATGACAATCTCACACGGACATTTTGAAAGGTTGATGTTGCTTTTAACTAATGTTAAAATATTTTTAAAATTCAATTTAAACATTTTTTAAAAAATCTTTTAAAATTAAAGAAATAAGAAATAATTGTATTAAAAATTCAATTTTCATTGAAAAAATTTTTTGCTTTCAGAAAATATTGTCCATATTCATAAAAACAAATTAAAACAAATAAAAGCATTTGAAACTAAATAATATATTTGTTTTATTGAGTTTTGTATGTTACAATTCACAGCTGATTTTCAGGTACGTTGGCCAAAAAAAAAAAAAAAAAAAAAAAAAAAAAAACATGATTTGCATTCTTCAAAGCCTTGTGCTTTTAACTATTGTAATCACTAAAACCGATGGTCTCGAATTTCTAGAGTTTTTCATAAAATTAGTTATGGGGGTGTTAATAAATATAAAAAAAATATTTCTGCCATGACTTTAATAAAAAAAAATATTTATAATAATTTCGATCATCTGTGAATAGTTTCTGAAAGTTTCATTAACATCTGACAATTATTTTTATTTTTGCAAGATTTTCCAAATTAATGTGTGTAAATACAAAAAAATGCGCTAAAAATTATCTGTTATTTACTACCCCTTGTTGCGACAAAGAGAAACAAGGTTTTTAAATCAAAATTTAGAATATTCTAAAAAGATGGAAAAATTTTAAAAAATAATTAAAAAAAAAATTTAGTCTATCCTCTTCATAAAAAATAAGCATTTTGACGATAAAATTTTGTTTTCATAAACTTTGGCGTCTTTTTTCATCAGACTATGCTCTATGTTTTAGCGATTCCGTGGAGTGACTTAGGTTAAAAAACCCAGGTTTGTGTGTGTGTTTGTGTGTGTGTGTGTGTGTGTGTGTGTGTGTGTGTGTGTGTGTGTGTGTGTGTGTGTTATCCTTTATATATGGGATCGGATTTCTTACATTTTCAGCCGATAAAACAAACATCCACTTTTTTTTTTTTCGGCAGGTAGTATTTCTTATTGTCTTGCACACTTTTTTTCTTTATTTACATTCAGAATGCTTTAAAAATTCCATTTACAAGACAATTGTTTATAATAAAATTCTATTCACCAATCGATAGACTCATAACGATTGTAAACAATGTTTTTGTTTGAATTTGGGTTTGACCAGTTCGTAAAAAAAAAAAAAATAATTAAGACATGCGTGTCCGTCAACCTTAAACAATAATCTTTGTCAATTTTATTTTTCAGTCTTGGTCGATACTTGATCTATCTCTTACTGTTACATCCCCGGGCAACGCCGGGTTCTACTGCTAGTTTATTATAAATTTTAGAGAGAACAGAAGCCAGTTTGGGAGAACTTCTTAATAATTATTACAGGGATACTATCAGGTTTACATGTTTTGTGGGGATCTAGGTTAAAGGATAGCAAAAAGCATGGGAGAGCAACTGAGTTCTACGAGGGAAGTTGGGCAGGGATATTCCGGATGAGTCGAGGGTAGAGTTTGAGGAGAATTTATGGGGCAAAACATTCAGCTTTATAAGCAGAGAATGATAGCACTTCACATTGATAGGAAGGCTAGGAATTGAGACTTTACACTTATTTAATGCCTCATTACAGAGCCGCTAGTAATCGCGAGAGCCAAAGTTGTTAGAGACTATGAGGCGTGCAAACAGGGTTTTTTGCTCCTTTGAGGACACTCGCTTACAGTAACTGTGAGTAGCGCCAAATAGGCACCTGTTGTAACGAGAGCAGTGACGTTGGTATAGCTGAAAATAGTTGTTCCTGTGTGCTATAGCGGCCGTGCATACTGGTGTGAACCATGGAGAGGATTGAGGTTTCACCTGGTATTGCCGAGAAGGGATGAAAGCGTCTATGCCGGCTCTTGACCAAAGAAGAAAACTTAGTGGTGCAAGATACTTACCTGAAGATATGTCTTGGCACCCGGAGCCCGGGTTTTAAAATGCACAGAGAGCATGGGAAAAATGAAGATGTTGAACATGATTCCAACCGCATACCAAAACGGACCCGCCACACCATTCTGGAGTAAAGAAGAAAAGAAAAAGGGACACGATGATAAACGATTGATTGATTCATAAATAAGAAAAAAGGAGAGAGAGAGATAGACATAATTTGGAAACAGTCTTGTAATAATAATAATAAAAAAAAAACTACATTGAAATTTAATCCAGGTTCTAATGGTGATTTTTTAAGCGTAGCTTCCATGAAGCATATGGCCGAATGGCGTAATATTTTCAACGAGACAACCTTGCTAACCATTACACCACGTCGAAGTGTCCAATCTAGTCTCTTATACGGAGAGAAAGAACTTTTCTTAACACAGTTTTACTTAAGTGTCAGTTAAGTGTCATACGCAATTGAGTGGTCATGTCTCTTTCGATTCAGTACTGACTCGGCAGAAGGTTTTTTCCCGCAACAGGTCACCGTTTCTTTCTGTATTAGACTGGTTGCCGTCCAAAGCTATAGCGTCCACTCTGTCCTGCTATTAAACCCATAGCTAATTAGAGCATAATTAAAAAGAAAATAAGCCACTATCCATGCCGTACACTTAAATCCAAAACGTCAGGAAAAAGGTTGCCCAAACATGTGCCCTCTCTGGAAAAAAGATGACATTCACTTTATTTAAAATGCTATTTTTATGTTTGCGTTTGCTTTAATTATTCGTAAAAAATAAAAAAAAAGATATAATTTAAATTATAAATTTGATGACATCACACTGACTTAAAAAAATAAATAACACAATTTTAAATAAGGCTAGAATTTGTCTATCCTTCCAAAAATGACATTAACTCTTAAACAGCGGAAAAAAGTTGCACAAACGTGTATACCAATCAAGTCAAAACTCATTTCTTTAAAGGATATGTTTTATATGTAAAAGTTTCAGATGTGAATAAAATATGTCTGTAAAGACAATATAATTAAGAGAAAATACAAGAATCAAGTTCTAATTCCAGTAGTGTTCGTTGTAGTCACAAATACCCTTGGAAAAAATATGCATCCACCTCTTCTCCTCACAGCTATGGGCTAATTAGTAAAACTTGGATCAGAAAAACATTACTATCTCAAAAAAAATCTTACAATTTAAAAATGTTTACTGGCTTTAAATAAGGTGTAAAATGAATGATAACCTGTAAAAAAACAAAAAAAAAAAAAAAAAACAACGAATAAATCAGTTTATTTTTTTTTGTTTTTAATCGATTCACCCCAAGCAAGGGAACAGCACCACTAAGATATATATATATATATATATATATATATATATATATATATATATATATCGTCGCTCAATCTTACAAAAGTTTTCTTAATGGATCCCTATTATAAAAAAACATTACAGCTGTGAAATGGATTTGTTATATATATATATATATATATATATTATAATAAAAAGAAAGTACAGTAAGATATATAATCCGGTGTTCTTATTGATATTTTTATTTTTACAACACAGTGCTCAATATAAATTTACAGAGCATAAATATTATAAATTAACTGATTTAAAAATATGGTTCCTTGGCTACACAGGAATTACCATGTTTCAAAAACCAAAGCTAAAAACTTCAAATTTAATAATTTATTTTTGAATTTACTGAGTTTTAAAACCACATACGATTCATAATTTTTTGTTTCCAAGGATACAGAGAAACTCAATCATTTAGGCAGGGGCGGTAGCGTGTTCATTTTTATTAACTATTATTGTATGAATTATGAGTTACGTCCAAAAAGTGGTTAAGTCTAGGTAGGGTAGGGCTGCATTTTTCAACGAATTTTGACATCCGTTCAACGTATGTCGTCTGGGTTTATTTTTCTATCAACGACAAAAACTTTTTCGGCATTTTTTCCGTTAAATTCGTACTTGTATACTTAAAGATTCATTCTAAAAGGGCTGTTTGGGTTAGAATACGTTATATTGAACTACAATTTTAAAATATTATTTTTACTTTTCAATTACTAAAGACTATATTTCTTTTTAAATCAAATAAATGTAATGGAATTACTTAAAGTATTTAAAAATTATTATTACATATCAAATATAAGTATGTATATTACCAGCTCCCATTTTTTATTTTATTTTATTTTTAAATATTATTTAAGGTAAATTTTTGACAATGTCGGCAAAGAATAGCTATTTCATTTCTTTGATTCAGTAAATTTTTATTTTTTATAAACCTAGTAATATATAGTTTCTCATGTATGCATGTAAAGGACATGGGTCATTTAATGACCTACATATTCTAGCTTTTCTTATTAATTGCCATTTTACTGTGAGTGTTTTATTAGTTTCTTTTAAGTGCCCGAAATATTTCGATAGGGACGTCTGATTTCGGTATTTATTTATCCTAAATGAACTTTGATGTTAATTGAATCTCTTTTTGAACTCATGGCTTGTGCAACCTATATAGATTTTTATGTTTTCGGGATTTTCAATAGATGAAATATTGCATTGGTATACTAATGATTCCGTACGACATTTATTTTGTAGAGGACAGTTATGAGGATTTCTACAGTTACATAATTTTTGTTTATTTTCATCTCTTTTTATTTTTATATTGTCTAAATTTCTTTGGTTTGGGTCTAAGATATTAGCATTATGTTTCTTAATAATTTTCTCTAAGTTTTCAGTACAGCTGTAAGTTTTTTTTAATTTTTTTTATTGAAACTAGTACTTAGTTTACTATCTTTAGGAAAATGTTTAACGATTAATGCAAGGAATTTTTGTCCTAATTTGTTTTTTACCATCTGGTTGTATGGGGGTGTATACCAAATTATTTTTCTACTTCTGTTTTTTCTATGCTTTCCATTTTTCTTTTTTATATAAGTTAGTTTTGGGCTTTTGTAGCCATTATCTTTTAGTGCTTTATTATAGAAATTAATATGTTCATAAAAAATCTTCTCATTTGCTGAATTTGTACTTTTGCTTAATTATAGATGGAGGATGATTAGATTTAGAGTGTAGATATAAAGGATTTGTATTGTTTTTGTTTTTTTTGTAAGGTATACATACATTTTTCCTTAAATCTAATGTTATATCAAGGAAGTTAACTTTTTTTTAATTTAGTGCTTACCGTAAATTTTAAGTTCAGGCATTTAAATTCTTTATATAATATCTTTCTAATTTTATCAATTTATTTATCCTTGGAAACAAAAAATTATGAATTGTATGTGCGTTTAAAACTCAGTAAATTTAAAAATAAGTTATTTCAAAATTCGCTTGAAGATGAAACAGAACTAATGCTTTTAATTTAATCATATAATTAAATTTGAAGTTTTTAGCTTCGGTTTTTGAAACATGGTAATTCCTGTGTAGCGAAGAAACAATATTTTAAATCAGTTAATTTATTATTTATATATATATATATATATATATATATATATATATATAAGATTAAGTAGCGGTGTTATCATTTCAGGAATAGTATGGTCTTTTAAGGGAAACAAAGTACTCGTGGTGAATTTATTGTTAATCTCACTTGAGACTCCATATTTATGTCCTTATTCCAAAACTAAATAAAGATTAAATAATTAGTACTGGCGTTTTTGAACGAAATTATTTAAAAAAAAGAAAAAAAAGAAAGCTCCTTTGGCTCCCCACAGATTCCTTTATTATTGTTATATAGGAATAAATTGTCGCTGCTGACACTTTAGTTTGAAATATAGATGGCCAGTGAGCAAGCACAGCCAATCCCATTATTGAATTCAGTGGACCACGTGACCATAGAGGAAACGCATATATAGGAAGTCACGTGACGTCTATATTGATCGCAATTTCTACTCTATCCTCTATTACTATATGAACTGCTATTCTCTACTCTATTTACTATACTAGTTCTCTATTCTGATCACTATATAGATTACTATTCGAGCGAGTATTATCGAACAAGTACTATTAGTGTGAGTGATATTCGAAGGCGTCTGACACTAGTATTGTTAACAGTGTCACTATAGTTGTATATGCGATTACAAAGTCTCTACTACAACGAGCATTTTGAGTATTCGTTGACATCACAAAAATTATACATTTTTGGGTAAGGTAGTGGAGTAGTTTCCCATTGTCCTGTCTTCAGTTATTGAATTCGGCGTTTTCCTTCTCCTAACTGATTGCCACCTAGGGATACAGAGAATTGTCTGCTTTGATTTTAACACATAGCTGGAGGGGAAGAATTGGATTCAAACTCAACTCACCGATCTTCTTTCTGCATCGATAACCGCTACGCTACGCGCACATCCTTACCAATTTACACAAAAGGCCAAAATATATTGAAAGTGCATTGATTTCGAAAACGTCTCCGGTAAAATTATGTTCAGTATCACAGACCATATCTCCATACCTCACCATGTCTTTATTCCTCACTAACCCTACTGCACTGAGATGTATCGAGAATTTAATTTATAAAGCTGAGCGTCCCGGTATCTTTAACGTTTTCGATGTAGATTTTCAACTAGTCGCTTGTATTCATTCTAACTTTCTGTACATAGCTAAATGCGACACTTTAGTGTTGTTACTTTTTGTCATTCGGTTACTCGCTATTACTTCTAAAATGAAAAAAAAAAAACATTAAAAAAAAAAAATGAAATCCAATTTAACAGACGTCAACATTTATCTTTATGCTTCGTATGATTTTCAACGCTCATCGTTTGGGTACACATTATCCCACAGCGGGTTTCTAATAATTTGAATAAGACCGACTCATAAATCCTGAAACTGTCAACACATGGATCCGTTTGCAAACTTTTCAGTGAAACCAATGTTGAAAAATAACAAACTGGCACACGTGAAGAGCTTCCAGACGAAGTTAAAACAAAATCTAATATGTTTCCCACCGACTTTTCAACTACTCCATCACACCACTGTGCGAACAAAGTAAATATTTCTGGCGGTAGGCAGATGTAAGTAAAAAGAAAAGCAAAAACAAAACTAAAAATGTTTCTTGTTTTTTTGACCGAAATTTGAACAAGTTTCGTCACTTGGTGTATAATGTATGCAGTGAAATACAAAAAGGAATTGTCAGTGATCAGCTG